GAAAGAAAGAAAGTTAGGTTATACCCCACGAGAATTCCTTCTAGAGCAGAGGCCACCGATTAGGGCTGCCGCTCAGCTACCAGTTGTTCATTCAAATTTTCCTTCCAAAGAAAACTTGCTTGGGAATGACGTAGGAAAGACACGCGCACATACAAGAACAGCGCTGTGAATTCCCTTTGAATAAATCAACTTCATTAAAGTAATCAATTACACAATATTATCAGTCCTTCACCTCCTTTCTTCATTGAAAAACTTACTCCGATTAGAAATTAATGAGCTTTTTAAATTACAACTTTGAAGAATAATTTTACTCAACCAACAGGTGCGATTCTTATTTATGCCTTCGCCGTTGTCAGTGTTCCTTAATAGAAAAACCCTTGAATTTGCATAAATTGAACTAAAACACATGTACATAAATTGTTTGAGATAGCATGAAATTTCAAAAATATCGTGCCAACAACTAAATATTTTTAGTATAGTACTTCAGCGAAACATATTATTCGCGCTTGTGAACTACTGCTACTTTAAAGATTCTTGGTGTATTAAATTTCAGAAATGCCCATGGCAATTTTCATCAAGTTTCTTACTTTCTACAAGTTCTGTAATCTATCCTCTACAAAGTTTACGGGCACTCACACACCCGCATCGACGCTTCCTTCTTTTCGCCGCGAAGCTACGCCGGCCCTGTCCGTGAGCTGAGTGCCTCTCGCTGCAGGGCGGCGGCCAGTGGCCTCGCCTGCGTTCCACGTCCTCACCGAGCGCGTACACTCCCGCCTGCTCCTCCGTCGCAGTCCTCCTTCCGTGCTTCTCGGATGCGAAGGGCTATGACCCCGTCCACGTTCGCGATCGTTAATCACGTAGATTGCTCCCCCACCCCCTTCAATTTCATTAACATCGGCGCACTAATTGCTTAGAAATGCGCAAAACTAAATTATTTCTGGAAATTCTTGTGTTTGAATTCCCAGAAAGCGCTTACATGTACCTTTCGAATGCGTTCACTCGATTCACTGTTCTTCTCGTAGCTCCACGTAATGAAATTACTTCGCAGATTTGCATAACCAAACGCTAGTACCGTTCACCTCGGCAGATCTTAGAAGAGTCGCTGTTCACCTCGGGTTCATATTGCAAATATTCTTTCCAATAAGCAACTTGTGCATAGTGAAGCGAGTGCCAAAAATAATGAGAAGGAGAAACTGTTTTTGCTTGCCTATAACTAAAGTAGTAACGACTGTAGAATATCAAATATTATTGTGAGAGTTATTTGAATGTAACTCATTTTATTTTATCAGACATAGGGAAATATTAGTGCATTTCATCTATGTAGCAATGAGATAAAAATAAGTTAACAAACATATTGGACGGATTTAATTTGAAGGACAAACTTTTTATTGTAGTGTATACACTAAAATATTGTGGTGTGTAATGGTAAATTACTTATTAATGAATCTATAATTTGAACACTTGCTAATCACGATTGATTAGCTGCAATGAAATTGTTCTGGTGCAAAGTAGTTGCCGCGAGACCTTGTAATAGTTCGAATTTTGCCCAAAACATTGCAATGCTACGCATTTCAACCGACAACAAACGTGCAGAACGGAGGAGTCGGGGTGGCGAGTGACCGTCACGTGGAAAAGCAGAAGAGTAGACTTGATGGCAGTGCGATGGTAATTATGCCATTGCACCCGGTGACTGTTAATTCGGTGAAATGCTGAACGTGAGTGTAAAATGGATTTTGTGACAATTTCAACGCGTGCGATGGATGAGTGAATATTAGTATACGATAGAATAACTGTGTTCGAACACCATGAGGCAGATGAACGGTGCGTGAACCTAATAGATAAGTGTTCTTTGGTTCCATACTGAACATTTAGAATGGTAACTAATACAGGAAATCTTCAATACGAGATAAATTAGCATAGTGCTCAATATGAAACTTTGTGAATTAATGAATAGTGACATAGCCATGGGTAAAATGTGATTCTACTGAATTACTTGAAAATCATGAGATAAATGCGGGAGCTGTAGTTGACTATTGTGCGCAGGACAGCGGAGGGTGGCAGCGTGGAGAAGCGAGGAAGGGCGCGCGCTCCTCTCGGCACCGCAGAGGCCCGAGCGTTGCCCAATCAACCAGGAGCGACGGCCTGCACGCGAGGGATACAAGTAGCCAATTCAATACGTATTTGAAGGGCGGGCGGAACTGTAATGAAAATTAGAATGAAATAACAGTAACCACTGTTTATCGATGTTATGGTGAATTCAATCGTGGTAGTAGTTCACTCCAAGACGAATTTCGCGAAGGTCGTCCAAAATCAGTTCCGAAAACCATTGATGCTGTGCATGAACTGATATTGCAAGATCGTCGTCATGTGACCTATCGTGAGAATGAAACAACCGTAGGCATTAGTGGGACCAGCATACATTCAATATTGCATGAACATTTGACTGTCAAAAAAATTTGTTCGCGTTGGATCCCACAAAATTTGTCAATCGCTCAAAAAAAAAGGCTGTGTCGATTGGTCGAAAGAAATGCTCAAAAAATACGATCGCGGTGCTTCGAAAGACGTCTATGACGTCGTGACAGGTGGTGAATCGTGGATTTACGCGTATGAGCCCGAAAGTAAACAGCAATCGACTGTATGGGTGTTTCAAGGTGAGCAAAATCCAACAAAAGTTCTTGCACGAAGCACTTCCAAACAGATGGTCGCCTATTTTTTCGGAAAAACTGCACATGTCGCAACCGTACCACTAGAACGCAGAACAGTCAATTCTGAGTGGTACACAACGATTTGTTTGCCAGCTATCTTCCAAGAAATCAGGAAAACCAACCGCCGAAGACTGATCACTCTCAACGTTTTTCGACACCTGAAGCAGCGGTTGCTACATTCAGAATGCGTTTTGGAGATACCTCGATCAGAATGGCAAAAGTACTTCGACAATTGGTTCAAACGCATGCAAAAGTATATAGATCTTCATGGGGAATATTTTGAAAAACAATAGTGATTCGCGATATTTGTTTTTCTTTTCTAACCCTGAAATATAAAAGGCAACCCTCTTACAACAGAAGGACGGAGAGAGAAATAACGTATCAGGGGACCCCTAAATTTGTATTTCCGATGATATTTCAAAATCGATTTTCCGCATTGTTTAACCTCTACACTACGTGTATTACACCGTATACATGTACATACTAAAATCTTCAAATTTTTAGTTGTAAGACGAAAAAAAAAAAAAAAGCTTTTGCAATTCCTTGATTCCTACGAAAAGAGGACTGCACCATTCCCTTGAGCGTCCTTTACGCTATTTGAGGTTCACATACAATAGAAAACCTTGGAGCAATGTTTTAGTTAAAGCTGCCGAAGGATATCAACTTTGGGGATAATCTACTGAACAGCTAGAGTTTACCACTGACAAATGGGCAGACATTTCAGTCTGCAATCTATTCTACAGCATTGACAAGAAATTAAAAAAATTACAATAAAAATGCGTGCCCATCCATCTATGAACACTAGCTCTTCAACCATTTCTATTTCAATTTTTTCCAAAATGAATACTTTGATCTGGCTCGTCTCTAAGCTTTAACTTTTCTACAAAGCTCAGACCAAAAATATTCAAAACCATAAGTGGGAAAGCGTTTTGAAAAAATATGTTTTTTTTCCACACTTCAGTACACAAGACAAAGGAATTCGCATCTTAATACAACACAAGATAAAGTAATTTAATTGCAAATAATTACCTAGTAAAAATGATTTACACACTAATATACATTGAAAATTAGCAGAGCTTGTCACAACAAAAAAATAGTACGAAAATCAGGATAGCACAGTGCAGCACATTTCTCTTGGTTTTAATAGGTCAGGAAATGCCCACGCCCAAGTACCCCATTCACAAGACTCCAGCTGCACCAAAACGCAAAAATTGTGTGACAACACTTTAAACATCCAATTTAACATAATTGGGACCTTACTTTAAAAACGGAAGTGTTAAGACAAGGTAATAATAACTATGTCCTAACAAGGTTCCACTGCATACATCAAATTGGGTTATACTACGCTTATTGTAATTGAACACAAATTTCATAATTGTTAAACAATTTCGTGTAATGTAATAGAAATGGGAATTGCTGAGCGAGTATATCAATTACAAAATTACATTTTGTCTGAAAGTTACCCGTTGCAACAAAAACGCACACCACAGCCGAATTTGAATGAATATTAACTAAGCTACTAGAACAGAAGTTTACACCATCACACTAACAATTCAACCACCATGAGAGACAGGTTGCTTAAGAAAAATATCAGAAGGTGGACTATAATACTTTGCAACTATGTGGGTGGAGAGGAATATAAGGAGTAGGTTGAAACAGTTGGGCAATTTAAAATCAATATCTTGAAAGTGAAAAATAGAAACAAATGTTTATGAACCTTTTATTACACTCAAAAGGCAGTTAAGCCTGTAATACACAAGCACCACCCACACTCTTAATCTTTTCTTCAGCACGCTTTGAGAAGAATTTTGCTTTCACAATGACAGGCTGCTTGGGAAGAACACCTTTTCCCAGAACCTTGTAATAACCCTGTAAAAAAAATTTAAATGAATCCAAGCACATCAATAAGATCTTCAGATAATGAAAACTAATGCTAACACAGAAAATATTATTTGTTAACAGTTGCAACTTGAATTATTCAAATACAGCATTTACAAGAAAATAAGACAAAGTTCTTCCCTAAATATCTCATTCCAATAATGCAGGTCATCTTAAAGTTGCAGACTAAGGAAAGTTAGTTGGAATAAATGGAAACTTTTAGAGCTGATGTCTAGAATACAGAACAGCGTAAGGAAGTCATTCAAACTGGCCCTTCATGCCACTCCACCAACGCCCTCTCTCACCTTTCAGTTTTGGCCATGCACCACACCATCCACGGAGGAGGGGACGAGTGGTGTTTAGGGGACCTTTAGATTTAGATTTATTCAGTCAAAACAGCAGTAAAAACTGTACGTGATGTAGGGGAAGACAGATAATCTGTGCATGGGTTCTTGAGTTCCAGAATACCTTCCCATCATTTTAACTATAAATAGTTGAAAGATGAGCAACGTTTAACATAAATAAATAAAAATAAATTTTAAAAATAGCAAGGTTAGCAATATTTGAAAAATAAGTGTGGGGAGGGGTAGTTTGCAATATGCGTAACTTAGTACATACATATAAAATGAAAAGTGTGGGCGATTTAAATAAATGTAAAAAATACATTTTACCAATACCAATTTAATGACTTGAAATTGGTCATGTCAAAACTTGAGAGGGATTTCACCCCAGTATCTAGTTGAAACCTGTGTCAGGGTAGCTGTCAAAGTGGTTATCCGTGTTGCTGTAATACAGGAAAGTTTGTGTTTTTCAGATTCTTTGTGATTTGGGTTTTTGAGTGTCGAGTGTCTGTCCACATAGTTTTTACAAATTCAGCTGTCATTGAATGGGCTCAAAAAAGTAGTTTGATTGCTGCAGGATTTAAGGGTTCTCTATGGCAGTGTCTCATGAGATTTCGAATGGAAGTGTACAAAAGAAGGGGCCACTCCTCATGTGCTTAAGTGTTCCATGTGGAAGGGACCATGGTTAACGAGAAGTTGAGTATCATTCAGGTATTAGTAATGACCTCTCTTAAAAACCAAACCACCATAAAAATCACCTATCGGTAAGTTTTATTAATTTCTATCATAGTGCTTAGCATAATTTGAGGGAGGACTTAAGGAGACTCCCCTCTTCCCCCATTTCTCTAAGGGTGTACCGTGTACCCTACTTTAAGCCTTCCTAGATTACCTTATAATGCCAATACACTCAAATGCTGCTTAACAAGCCTCAAAGATGAAGAAAAAAAAAACTTTTCTACAGTACCCAATTATATTTGTGCATGTGTTCTTTGTGATCACTGTGTATTTGTCACACAATTCAGACACTTTGAGCAGGCTAGTAAAATGAGTTGTAAAAAAATGGCTTTGTAGGAAGTGAAACCCAAACTGAAAACTAATAAAAATTGTTTCCGAGGTTACGTAACCAAGCTTATTGGTGAAATCACACACACTGTTCCATGCCGAGCGAGTGTGAAACTGCAATTTGCAAGCTATCGAAGTGAAATTGATAACGTTAAGTGAAGTAAAGATAACGTGCAGGAAAGAAAGAAAACAGAAGTACACATTCTACTTTCAATTAGTGATGAACTGATTTTTAAATTATATTTTCTTAGCAGAAATTCTCAACTGTGACTGAAAATGTCCCCACACTACCAAATACTACCCACACAGAACGAGTGACGTTATCTACAAGATAGCAGTTTACAATTCAATCATGAATTTAAAGAACTTTTCAAGTTAATTATCAAAAATGAAATGGTATTAAATAAAAACCTAACAGGAAGAAAATCTGACGAAGAAAGAAACCGGGCCAGACATACATGCTGGTGCCTTGCTCAGGCGCATGTGCCCGAGAGTACATTGATTCTGGGCCCTGAGGAGATGTCTCCACTGATGGGGATATATTGTGCTGCCATCAGCAGGCTATTTGAGACATTTTGCAAAATGCACATTGGTATTGTCACTTTTTGATGTAGAAGTTCACAGTGTTAGAAGTTTTGTATTGTGGAGCATGTTTTAAGTTTAGAATACTACAAAATTATTACTTTTTTGTTTTTTCGTATTAATTCTATAGGTGAATTTTACTCTATTTCAACGCATAAAATGAAATACTTGGAGATTTTTTAAAAAAAATTGAATATCTCAGTGCATCTCATAAATTATTTTACAAATTACAGTCGACTGTTTTAAATACTTATCACCTAACCCTGACCATTTCAAACTATGGTTTCCGCAGGAAACGAGAAAATCTGGCTGAAATGAAGACCCTGCAAATCTAAGACGAACTTCATTTCGGAGTGAATGAAGCCCCCCCCCCAATTTTCCTCGTTCCTGTTGAATGCCTACTTCTGAACTTTTCTCAGCTAGCCTCTCACAATTATACAAACTAGTATTCCAAAAGCACTTTCAGATCCAATGGAACCTTATAACTCAATGACTTTTCTACAATTTACAATGAACTTATAAAATACTTACAGCTCTCACAACATCTATGACAGGGGCTTTGCCATCAGGGTCTGCTTTGTATTTTAATCTTTGCTTTTCAGAGACCAGAGTCCACAACTTATCCAAGTTTAACGTCGGGCACCATTTAGTATTGCGACGAATATGGTAATTCCTCATACCCAACTGGAATCAGATTATAAAACATTAATAAGAACCTATAAAGACATTTGTCAACAAACTTTTATTGAAATGTTAAACACATTCACTAATCCTTTTCTCTTCAGTGCTCTTTGCAAATCCATAAATACCTTTATTACAACATTACTACATACTTCTAAACACAACACTTCCAAGATGAGAAAATGAAATAATGATAATTGTACTAACCTTTCCGAAGTACCCTGGATGGTATTTGTCAAAGTTTATCCTATGGTGATGCATACCGCCAGCATTACCACGACCTCCAGGATGCTTCCTGTGCTTTCCTGGGAAATATCAAACATGAGGGTTTAATTATAAGTAAAGTAAATCAAAAACTCGTATATAACTCGCAACACTGTATGAACTGGATGCAGTACAAGCCTTTAAAAATTAGTTTTCAATAATCAAAATATCTAGGGAGTTTAGAGTAACCTATAAAATTATAAATTACTTACCAACACGGCCATGACCGTGGCTCACATGTCCTCTCAACTTCCTGGTCTTCTTCTTGTGGGTAGACTACGAAAAATAACCGTAAGATTACAACACAATAAGTCCATTGCATGCAAACCGTTTACAACGATATATATCCATCCTTGAAGTAAATATGATGATGAATATATTTAGCTTACTGTGGTACATAATTAAGTTAAGACCAAATGAACATATATACACAAAGATTCACACCAATATGTTCTCGACGTGTAACACCAACTTTGTCCTTAACAAAATTTCACAATTCTACAAATTTTCAAAAACGTCGGTAAAATTAATACTTATAAATTGTTTCTAATTACATATTTCGCTAAACATTACGTTAAAATCCATTACTACATGTAGGATGAATAGATATAACATAAGAAACATTTCATCACCACTCACCATTTTCCACGCGGACTTCGCTAGACTGTCGAACACCGAGAGCAAAGAACGATTCAGGCAAAGAGCAGAAAGTATTATGTGGGCAAAGAGTATCTTGTGTCGTCGCAAGTTCTTTCTTGGAAGTTGCATACACGAATCCGATGCCTGGAACCGAAACTTTTGAATAATTTAAGTAAGTTTAAGTCGCGGCACGATGTAATATATTTTTTACACCGTTGTCACGGTATATTTCATAATCACCACAATATAAGGAGATAAATTTCTTATACAGTGGTTCGGGAAATGCCGCGGTATGAGTGGTCATGATGTAGAAATCCGCCATTTGGGTGGCACTGGAGCGCGGAAATTCAAATACTTACCTTCACTTTCAGAGAAAGTATTAGACACATACTTACAATTTGCACTGCTGATCTATTTAGACCACAGAAACCGTTTAATAAAATAGTATTTCCAAAAAGTACGTTTAAAAATTAACAATAAAATGTATTCCTAGGGTAAATTTCAAGAACTCAAAAAAGTTTGCTTCTTTATCCTGATCGTAATTTCTGTCGCACAGTTTACACTTTTCTTTGCCAAAAGTTCTTGGTTTACTATATTCACTTTTTCATATGACTGACTTTTTCGCCATCTTTTAATTGCACTACTTCTACAGATTTCTTGTGAAATCCTTTTTTACCGCAACAGCACTCATGGTTCTTCTCAGGTAACACGTCTTTCACAACTAACTGTTTTTTTTAAAAAAAATAAATACTTCTAAACTATTTCAAAATTATTGATGCTTTGTCATTGTCTGCACCATATTTTTATTATCAAGTACTCTTTTACAAATTAGGCGCTCAGAACAACAAAGAGGTAAGTAACTTTTATCGAAATTCAAGTTAATGTTCATTTATGTAGACGAATACGTACCTCTCTTGAGAAATTGAGAACAAATGATCAGAGTAGGCAAAACAGATTTCTGAACAGCGGCGGATCCCGGGAAGGGGGCATTGGGGCTACGCCCCACCTTAATTTTTTTTTGTACTTTTATTCAATTTCTTCAAAACAATTATCTCACAGATATCATTATACCCAAAGCATTATTCTAAGCACTCGCGGACCTGATTTTCTATTCCTGATTGAGATTCTAAAAAGGGGCCGCGAGGTTGTGTTGCTCAGGCAATAATTCAGAAATCGCATTCAATTTGTTCAGCGTTTAAGATTCACTAAATTGCACCTGTGATATTTTGATATTTCATGTTTTTGTATACCTTTTGATATTTTTTTATGTCAAAATATCCACCTCTATTCCAAGTATTGTCCTAAATTGACAATAAAAGACAAGGCCAATAATAAAGCTTAACTTTAACTTCACCACCAGTTAGCCATTTGTGTGAACATACCACGATTTTTTTAATTTTCTTGCAATTTTCTCGCCAGTACGACGTACAACCGTACTCAACATAGGAATAGGTCGACCACTGTCCAAAATTTGTCAATTTTCTACGTCGTTACGAGGAGAAAACAAAGTGAAAAATTACATTTAATTTTTGTTAAAATTAACAGTGAAAAATAAATAGTTCCTAAATAGTAATCACTTTTTCTGCCAATCAAATCAACAAAACAGTAAACAGACACTAAATACATGCGCTACGCAGCTAGCATGTCTGGAAATCGAAATATTTCCTGCGAGCAGGTAAGCGAATTCGCTGGCTTATACTGCGATTTATACTAGCTATCTCTGATACATCAGCTGTTACAGTGTCAGCCAATCGGCAGTTTACACGTCGCTAGTAACGTCACTATAGTGCCGTTCAACCTTTCCAATTGAATGACATGACAACTGATTTACTCAGAAGCAAATGTAAATAAATCCAAATATATGCCCAACGTGCATGCGGTAAGTATAGACCCAGCATGCTACTGTTTTATGCTCAATTCAGGGCCTTTTCTCAGAATACGTTGCGAAACTAGGCAGCGCTCCAGCGTGCCTGAACTGAGAAGTGCAAGCGGGCGCTCTCTGCGCGAAGAGGCGAGACCGACTCACGTCGTGTGGGCTGGTAGGAAGGATATATTGGTATAGATTGAAATGGATTCATGGCTCGTGCTACGATAATGAAATGTTCACTATACATTTCCAGGCAAATAATATTTACACCATAATAAAACTAGGAGATTTTTTGTTTTGTTATGTATTACACTAGTATACATTCATCAGGGTAGGCAGTGCTTATCTTGCCTACTTCAAGGAGCCATCACCGCGTGATGGTCAATAATGCCAATCGTTTTTGACAAATTAAGAAAAGGTGATGGATTCAATTATGAACTTTTTTTATATTACAAGCGATGTACATCGAGTGTATATGTCACGCCATGCATTGTTAGGTGGTAAACGCTATTCGCTGATGTGAGAGTAATCTACTAGCGACGGGAATATTATACGCGCACGTTTTCTTGAGCTCTGGCATACCTACCCCCACTCCTTTACTATTATTATTTGAATTCAGAATAAATGATAGCAACAAGTTTTATTGACAAACTCTGATAACTAGAAGTATTTGCTCTTGCCTAATAGAAAATAGTTTGCATCGAAAAACGAGCTACAGATTTCATATAATAGTCCTGTCAATAAAACAATCAAACCCCCCACTCCCCTCGCATCCAGGGAAATGAAGCGGCTCAGAAAAACGAGGCTCAAGAAAAACAAACGTGCCTGGATAATATCAACAGCTCACTACAAAAAGTTCACACACAATGTACATTAATGTTCACAACAGCCAGATGACATTAAACGATTAAATTCGATTCAAAAGTTTAAGTCCCAAGTAAAATATTTTTTGCTGCATAACTGTTTCTATACAATTGGAGACTATATCGAGCACCCGTAAGGAAAGTAATATAAATTTTAACAACAACATTTAGTGTATTATTTACCATTTGGATTGTATAATTCTAAAGAACCTGTAACAAGTGCTATACTTCAGCTTCTGGGGCAATGACCCCCATCTCAAACAGGTTTTCGTTATACTAATACCAGTTATCCTAATACTTGAGCAAATGCTGAGATGGCCCCTTGTTTTGCTTCTAGAAAAAATGTAACTTCAATTTAACTTCTTCCCGTAGCACGTCACACACTGTTTTAACTGCTTTTGACGTAAATAAATATAAATTTCCTTGTGACATACTTTGTTTTCGTGCCTTAGAAACGATACGGTTTTAGGAGAATAGTCAAGAATAGTAATACAAAAGATATTGCTTTATTACTTATTTTATCACATAAAAGATTTGAAGTGTAAGTACGACTTTTTAAATGGGGAAATATAGCATATTATGTTATGTTACTCAGGTGTAACATCATGCATGTATGAAACGCTATCAAAATGTATCTTTGATCGTATTGTGATGTACTTTTTACTTTGAAATTATTTTTCTAATTTAAATAAGTTTATTTTTAGATGAGTGATGCAAACTCTTCTTTACGAAGTAGAGGAATTTATCGGAACTGGAAATAATACATCTTTTGAATTTACCTCACGACAATAAGGATGAATTAGTAGTCAGTAATTTGTGAAGATGAATGGATGACGTTCTCAAAGTTGATGATCAGATTCTTGAAAAATAAAAGTTCTCTTATTTCTCAAAATTTGGATGATTTCCAAATATAGATACCTAAACAAACAGGGCAAATCACTTATTTACGAACAGGTAAAATCAACTAATGCAGAAAAATATGTTACCATCAATTCCACAATAAAATAAAATATGTTTAAAAATATTTAAATACTGATGTAAATGTATTATAATATTTTAAAAACAATATATGTTTCTTCCATTTCGATGTATATGATAAATTTTTCTATCCTGTATGTAATTCAGAAACAATATGCAGAGTATCATAATGTTATATCCTTATTGCATGATGTAGCTCAGAAGTAACATAATTTAATTTTGTATATTTACTGAGAAATTTTAATATCTGAATTTTTTATTAATCTTCCCTTAATTAAAATTAATAAATGTAATGAAATATAATTATTGCAAGTAAAAATACAAAATCATGCAATAAAGGGTTAAAAAGGAGATGGCTGTATTTGTGGATCTATTCCCCCTAAAGCTATGATGTGCATTTCTTTGGTCAATATTATTGCACTGGTTTGAGTCTATTGTTAGTAAGCCTTTTCAGAATTTTTGAAAATTCTGATAGCAGGGAGTCAGGTCTCTAGTCCATTCTATCATAACTATAGCCCTTTTTAAGTCATAGTTCAATTTTTGCCCTCTTCTTTGAACTGGAATGCCTGTTCTGAGGGAGTGATTGCAAACATGAGACAATGGCTGTACTATGTATGAACCACTTTGATAAGAAAATCTGGAATGCTGTCACTCCTGCTGAGAATTTATTCTCTATTTGTGTAATAGTTTTAAAAATTTCATAGGGTGTGTTTTTATTTAAAAACGGAATACATGGTTTGTGTTCATTTCTGTATGGTTGTTGTGTTGCATTGTTTAGAAAGTGTTGATAAAATGTGTTCAGTTATGATGTGATTGTTTTTAATCAGCTTTAATTTTAATAATTTTTATTATTTTATTCATTTTCAACAGATATATGTGGAATGGCTTAATGACAGTGAACATTTTTTTATTCAATTATAATTATAAACAATTCTGTAAGTTGTACTAGGCTTCTTGCTAACCCACTTTCTTTATAAAAATTAATAACCCAAAATTTAATTCACCTGTAGAAAACTGTCTTTAGCACCTTACATTCAAGAATTTATTTTTCTCTATACTGCAATCTTCGCAACTCTGCCTCTGGCAGGAATCAGCTGATGACTGTTTCATCTAATCAGAAGCTTGAACATCACCACTGTGTCGTCACTATGGCGACATTCATGTTCCCGATTGGATGAAACCAACAGCTAATACCTGCCAAGGGCAAAAAATGCATAAATCACAGTATAATTTCACATTAAAGTTAATGGAATTACTACTAATTAGCTCATTTTAAAATATAATATTAATTTTCTTCACTAAAGCAATGTGGGTTTTGGTAATTGTGTAATGTATCAGGAATTTGGCAACACTACAAGTCCATTTCTTGACAAATTTGAAAAAAATTATATTAAGGTCAATCTAGAGGACCTATCTGTTGAAAGGAAAATATAATTATTGTTCAATTATAATAGTTTGTAAAGGTTGAAATTCTTAAGTTCTGCACATTTGTGGATTCTTTTTTGGCGTTGACTATTGCTTTTATACTCTTGATAAAAAACAACCACTCACACCATCATATACCTTTTTTATATATATAAAAAATGTTGAAAGGATTACTGGAGCTCAAGAAAACATGCAGATGGTACTTCTTCCCATAAGTGACATAGTTTTTACGTTTTTTTTGTACTAAATAAATACCTATTACAAATATTTATACTCCTACATGCTTAAGAAATGCACGTGATAATAAAATATAAATGTTTACTAGGCACAATAAATCTACTTGAAAATTTAATTTTTGATACCTTTCAAAACATCACTTGAAAATTGAAAAAACATTTTTCCTGAATTAAAGTTCAAATATATATTGTCTACTAGGATTTAAATAACACATGTTATTTGGTTGGATAAGGTGAGGTTAATGATGAAACAGTCTTCCTACAATATGTTTAGGATTGTTAGGGAGATGTTTTATAAATAGAAATTAACAGTTAAAACCACACATAAATTTTATTTCCACATTTTCATTACTGTATATTGTTTATAATGCATTTACAGTTACATCTAGTGGTCTTTGTGATGAGAACCACATCTACAAGCTGTACTGTACAAAGGGAGATAGAAAAAACAAAAACAAAGGAAAACAACAGAAAGACATATGTATTTAGTTAGGTCTTCCCACTACTTCCAACTTCTTTAGAAGATCCATTACTAAATAAATCTTCTCAACGGAGAAGTCAAAGAGTTTTTGGATTTTCAGGATCACAAATGCACATCATAAAAACAACATTTTTATCTATAATAAGACAAAAACAAAATAATTATACATTTATAAGTCTACTTTTTTTGTTTGTTTTCTGGAAACAATTTTTCTGTACACTATGCAAATAGCTGGTTTACATCTAATAACCCTTTGTTGCTTCAATATGTAGCACAAATTGTTGGCTTCTTTTGTAAAAAAAGTTATATTCTGTCTTCAGAATAATAGCACAGAACATGTTGCACATAACGTGTTCGAAGCAATAATGCATAATCTAGAAGTACACTGCAAATAAATGAAGATATCTTAAATGAAGACAAATGTAAACTGATATTACCTATTTATACAAAGGACTCTTCAACAGTTTGATGTACTTCAAAGCTGTTTTAGTAGCCAGTCTTCATAGATCATCAATTGAAATTCCTGACTTGAAAAGCCTACACCCAAATATGCCACTTCCAACACCATGGTATAAAGTTGAACAAAGACCAGGAGTGACTTCTGACACTAATTAGACATGTACAAATAATGATGAAAACAGGAACTATTCAACATGTTTTCAGAATTACAAAAAATTCTGAATGAAGATTCTTATGGACATATAAACAATAGTTCTGATTAGGAAAGGTCATGATTAAAATGATTTTTTCTATCTTCCAAGTATTTAACAGGGAATGTAGATAAATAAAATGCAATTTATGGTATCAAAATTCAAGATACAACAGAAACAAACCTAAAAGTATGCAGTTTCAATGTCTTACATCAGAACATTAAAAAATTAGTATGTAAACATCTATTCATTTGTACTTTCCCACTCACAGATTCAAATCTGAATCTCAACTGTTCCAAAACTTATGTTCATGAAGTAACAACTCCACATTTGGTGGATCAGATAACACATCTTTTAGTTTTCAAAGTTTACTAAATAAATAAACTTTGAAAGAGCAATGAAGATAGGATCACTATATGATAATAACTTAAAACTAACAGGTGCCAAAAGTTCTCCTTATAGAAAGAAACAAAGTCTATATAAACATCTGTACAATTAAACAAAACAGTTTTCATGTACTTTACAAAAGTACTTAATACAAAATAATCTATTTAACTGCTTATTGGTCCTTGTTCTCTCTCAAAATTCTTCCTTCTATCTACATATTAAGGATTTCGAGGGCACACTCACACTACACATTCTGCAGCACCTCATATGGCCAGAGCAGTTTCGGAAACATTTCACTTGCTCTTGAACTGAATTGGTCCGAAGAAATAAAATATATGGTAGTAAACACATTTTTCTAAACATGTCTGCACTTGTTATTCAGTACCACTACGGCACCACAACACTTAGGGTTCTGGAAACACACAAGTTGACCTAGAATCTGTTTCATTCTTGAGAATAGCATAGGCATGCATCTATTATGGCCAACATGATTATATTCATTATTGGTAAATGAAGCACAGTCCACATGCTTCAACAAAGGACATCTGGTTTGTTAAATAGCCACATCCTTTTTTTGTGCACTTGGAACCCCGAAAGGATCACATTGTGCTAAACTGTAACTATCTTTGATATACAAATGATCTTATTCTCATCTGATTGGCATTAACGAACAGTAATTACGTAATTTCCTTCTGCTGGAACACCCATGGACCCGTAATCTGATTTTCTTTGTAATCTAAAGGGAAGGAAAGAGCTATAATTCAATCCTCAAGCAACTAGCAAAATTCCTTCCTTTCATAATTCACTTAAATAGTTTGTTTTATTTTACATTACAACTTTAGATGCAATATAAAAATAAGCCTTCCAATGTTCTTGTGATCATCATGATCAGTAGCTCTATAATTATTAGTATTATATATAATTAACTATTGTGTCTAAAGTCACAAGAGACACACAACTCTAATTCAAGGAACAGGTCTCTGTGGTGATTTACAAACAAATCTGTCCCACCACTTCTCCACACCTACTCTATATAGGTAGATAAGTCTACGATACACCAGCATCTCTTAGTAGTAAGTCATATAGTTGATAGACTCCAGGAAAGTAACAGCAACATTAACGTTTGACACTATTTTGTCAAAAAGGAATAACTTCATAATATGATTAATTACCACATGTAACTGAGGAGCAAGGGCAGGAGAAGGGTGGATTTCCCTTTTTTCAATTGGTTACATTCATTGCAGTGATTTGAACATGCAACAAAAAGACAGTAATAATCAACTGTCCATAAAAGTATACAAGTATGATATTCTTATTACATATTAAACTGGGTACGTTTATATGGTAATACTTTTAATTTCTTTCATGACATACACTGTTCTTTCATTCAGAAGTTATAACTTCTCCACCACATCTTCCACTGCAAACTCATTTTTCCAGTGAAAAGGTACACTAATGAAGTATATAAAGACACTATTTGTGCCAATCACTTATTTTAAAGTATACCAAGTAGATTTCTTTAGTGTTTACCATATACAGTATGTACAATGTTGCTGTATAACAATTACAATAAGAAGATTCAATAATCAATTTACGAGAAATATCTTTTCAATCCTTTTCGTAACTATTGACAAAAAGGTTATACTGTACATAGTGTATACTTTGATGATAAGCCAGTGATGATTGTGATGATCATGCAAATTGATTGCTCATGAAAGAAAACAGTAGACCACAGACTCTTAAGTGCATGCAGGAAGACCATCAAGTACTGCAATGACGGTCGACACAATCAGCACTAGTCTTGGGGTCTGTTCCTTATTTCACAGTTGAAAAATTTTGTGATGCATTCTGGTTGGATGCAACCCAAGAGCTGAACACATCTCTGCAAAAAAAAGAGAAAGTGTTAAATTACAGGATAATATAACATTAAAATGAAATGGGGTGAGACAACAGTCAAGATTTTTCTCTTAAATATTTACAAATAAAAAGAACAAGCAATGCATTTTGCGATTTTGAGAGTGTACTCTCTCAAACTTGAAATTTGAAAATACAATGCAAATTGCTCGCTTCTCATTAATGACCAAGGAAATGACATATTCATTTACAGAATTATTCTGAACACTTGAAAATGGAACACACCTATGATTCTAGCACTTTAATACGATAATGGACAAGAAATGTTCTGTGGCAAATTATTTCATATTTAATCATATTTGTGTGGGTCACACTAATAATATTCACGGAACTCCAAATCAAAGTAGTGGTGTGTTATAGTTCTTCAAAGCTATAAATACAATTAAACATTCCCATAAGTTATACTGAAATCCAATGAACTTCTACAATTTGTTTTATATCTTATTTTTAAAATTAGTAGTTTAAAATCGTAATAGACTCTACATCATGAACCATTTCTTTTATAATTACACAAATTACATTACTTTTTAATGTAATTGTTATCAATAGATTTTTCAAAGGCATATTAACTTCTTTGTTCAATACAACGTCAAAAGAATGAAGACTGAGAATGCAGGTCAACTTGACCAAGTTTCCTTAATGGTCAGATCACAATTTATCAAATAATGACATCATTACCATAAATTGAAACCACTTACGAGGAGAGAAATAAGAACATGCATAACCTTTCATGTCATTAGATAACTTCAAATACCTGGGAGTACAAAAAATATAAGAAGATATTTAAGTATTTTTTCTCACTCCTCTAAACACCCATCTGTATATTTGTTTTCCTTCAAATTTATAAAATTCAATGAAAGGAAAAAGTTAATTTTAATGAAAGAGATAGATGAATAAGTTGTTTTGTACAAAATACATTTTTAAAAGTCATGAATTGAATAGTGATTGTTGCAACCATGTGACATATAAATTTAACAGGTACATACTTTTCCCCCATAGCTTCAGAAGAATGGGCATAGATTGAATTCAGCTTATTTCTCGTATTCAGATAAAATGATTACATAATGACATTACATGTTTATTAAGGAAGGTTCTGTTCCACATGATCACCTTAACAATGTATGAACTATGAATAAAGATTACAAGAACATTACAAACAAGTTACTTTCTAATCACACTTCCTCACACTATTTAAAGAAATTTTCCAAATAAGAATTACACTGAACTTTGGTAATACAAATTTAATTACTATTAAAAAATTCAAATTAAAGATGTATCAAAATAATTAAATTTGAAAAAATGTATAAAGCACTCATCCTAGTAAGTAAAGAGTGTTTAGAATTATTTCATTACATTTTGGTTAGATACAAGGTCTTAACAGAAAAAGAAAATTTAATTGAAAGAGAAATTGTATTATAAATGTTCATTACTGAAAATCAATCGTATTTTAATAGGAGAACTGAACAGTTCCAACATATCACAAATAATAAACATAAATTAATAAACAAACATTAAGGCAAAAATACAAGGAATAAATGTGACTAAATCATTTCACAATTTTGTTTCAAAAGCTGAAACACAGGACGGAAGAGTTACGTTTTCTTCTAATGAATTAATCACATGTGTGTTGCATGTTCTCAAGAGTTCAGTAAGAGTATGATAGAAGCTGTAGTTTCTTGTCAAAATGATACAGACGTGATATGAAGATGGAAGACTAGATAGTTTGCATTTATTTCAGAACCATTACACTAGTTTAGGAAGGAAATGGGAACTCAAGGGTTCAAGACCACTGAGGTAAGGAGACCATTGACAAAATTGTTCATCTCACACAAAGAATGTGGAATTTCAGTTCTGCTCATGTAATTGAAATACTCAAAAATGTATGCCTTATTACAATTAAAAACAAAATATATTATGACATGTACAATACCACTATTCTTTATATCAGATGCACTTGATTTGTGCAATGACTTTATTGTAGCATGCAGTATTTTTATTTCCTGTAAGACCTTCTCTCCTATTTTTTTGACATAAAACCACTTTCCTTCTAAACTATACTGAGACTAAATGCCACTTCGGAATGTGATGGTAATTTTTTCTAACATTTACACAACACCAACCTGTACTTCAGCAGTTACCAGAAGTAACATGCTGTGACAGTTTCATAAAGAATATACATCATGCAAATGAACATTATCAAAGCAATGAGATGCTAATATTCATGCCCCAGAAATCAGGAAAATGACACAAAACTTAAAAACAAATCAACACAGGGCTTGATTAAAACTCGCATATCTTTCTTAATGAATTTCATGCATAAAACAAAGCAAGAGGTGAGGATTATCTCAGCAAGAATATAAAACTATTAGCAATTTTATATCAGGATGCGTACATGTAATTTCAAGACACATTCAAAAATAAAAGGGCAAATATTGAAATAATTACATGTAGTTACTGGCCAGAAGGTGAAATCTACTTGCCTTGGGCGATCTAGGGAGTGGATTTTTCAACCCCTGCCCGTAATAGTAGTTAAGAAACCTTGATTGGCTTTGCCCATTGAGACAACCAAGGCTCAATTGGGGGCTGTAGTGCCACAGACAGAAAGTGACATGTTTATTGCACCATTCACTTAATCACAACCGCTCTTAAGCATGTGAAATTCTTTGAATGCTCACCTGCAATGGCTAACTACACATTCATTGCTGCAGTATTCATCTTCCCATTCTGAATTAGTGATTGCGGCATTGGGGCAGCCATGGCGAATGCAAGCATTGCCCCCCACGCGGTGTTGTTGCTGGCCTGTGGCCACAGCTGGCCCAGGTGGGGGCTGGGGAGGCTGTTGCTGCGGCTGTACCACAGAGCCTGACTGTACGGGTCCTGGAGCTCCAGAGGGGGGATGTTGGGGGGGATGTTGTCCGCCGGAACCACCACTGCCACCAGACCCTACCGGAGGGGGACTGGATACAAGATGACCATCACTGCCCCGAGTTGGGCTCATATGGTGAGGTGGGACCTGCAATTTAGGAATGTAAGAAATGATTCTGATGCTAAACAAATACAATACACATGTTAAAATATTAAGCCAAGACAACTCATGAAATAATGTCTTGATACTAAACTTTAGTTAAAAGGTTTTCTTTCAACTCCTGAATGGAGGTTATGAACTAGTTATTGAATGCTTTCAGGCAGAAAATCCTCACCTGTTGCATGTAACTACCCTGGGATACTGGTCCTTGCATGTGAGATGGAGGCATATGTCCACCAACAGGGCCCATTGGAGATCCCATCATACCCTACAACAACATAAAATTATGTAAGTATTTCTGGAATTGACACAGACACTTAAGACAATGACAACTGATTAAACCCTTTTTACCTGTTGTTGTGGAGTTGCCCTATCTCCCATCATATTGCCCATCATTGGTGCTTTCTGACTCATATTGCCCATCTGGGGAGGTTTTGTCTGCTGTTGTTGCTGCTGCTGTGAAGGAATGGGCGGTGATGGCAGGGCAGAAGGTGGGGAGTAACCACTGTACCCCCCTCCATAGCCACTGTAACCTCCATACACATTCTCAGTTTCTCCAGCACCCTGAAGAAAAAAAAATCATGTCAGGAATATTAACTATAACAAACAAATTGCATTTCAATTATAATTAAATAAATTAATATTCACTATAACAGTTACATAAATTAATGCAAATAACAAACCTTAGAAACAAGGCTAGCTCTGTATGCAGCCAGAGCTTTTAGGTACTCCTTCTTGGCTGCTTCTGTTTTCTTCTTATACACCTAAACAGATAGAAAACAGAACTAAGTAAATGAAAAGAACAGTTGAAATCTTGTAGACCAGTTATCCAACAAAAGATTAACCAGTAATCTTACAATTAGTATAATAGTTTTAATCTTGAACATAAAATTAGTTCCAAAATACACTCATAGTTAAAAATTAAAATGTATACAGAAAGTATTCTAATAATTGGTACTGAACTTACATTCTTATGCTCTGCATCCAGAGCATCCCACATTGATGCAACGATCTTGGACACTTCTCCAAAACTTGCATTAGGATTTTGTCCTTTAATAGCAGCTTGAGTGTCACGAAAAAATAATGCATAAGCAGATACAGGCCTGAAACAAAAAGCAGAAAACAATGAGCACCCAGTTTCAATATCAAGATTTACCTTTGCAAGCAAACAATTAACATTTGTTAAAGGATTGGGACAAGAGAGAACACTCACTTTTGAGGTTCATTGGGGTCCCTCTTCTTCTTTTTCTTTTGCACCTTTGGCTTTTTCTGCACTTTGCCCATACCGTTGTCAGCTGGTTCGGGTGAAGGCCTCTTCATTCCTGCCATCTGAAATCACAAATAAAATAATATTAATATAGCAAATAAAAAATAAATGTGTAATCATAAAACAAGAAGGTAATCCATTATTGACTAAGGCAATTAAATATCTTAGTAATATACTTATTAAACATCCTAGAGCTCAAGAAAACATGCACAGATTGCACTACTCCCCATAGAACGTTACACACACTTTAACCGTTTTTTGATATTGAATAAATAAATAAAATACAAATGTCTTGCCAATGAATCTGAATTTTCTGGGAGTACATGAATTATATGGAATATTTACAGTTATGTTCACAATTACGTATGTACTTCTGATTGCAGAAAAGCAATAATTCCACCATTTTGGAATGGAAATGAAATCTAATGTGTGGATATGATTGAATAGATATGATACAAAGCATTGTAATTATTAAATGCTGTATCTTTCTAACACACCTAGCAACATTTATGTGTATCGCAAGGTCACTCAAAAAATGTTTATATAGTTGTATGTTGGCAAAAGGAAGGAAAATAGTACAAGTTAAGTAGATAATAAGAAAGGGGGTGAAGATGAAGGGAAGAGAAAAGATGAAAAAGAAGAAGAAAGAGAACAAAAAACAAGAAGCATCCTGGAGGATAGCAGTCGAATCTGTTTCTTTGGGCATTGGCAAAAACCTTTGCTTAGCTCATGAAAAAAATATTAGAAAAACGAAAAAAAATTGAAGTTAATGTAACGTTGGACATACCACACATCTTACTAAAAAAATAAGACATTTTTACTCCAAAACCTACCAATCGTGGTCGGCATCCGAACAGAAATTGAAAACCACATGAAAATGGCAGCCACCTAGCTTCAAGTTTTGTTTGATCTCCTGAATATACCAAAGATCATCAAGGTAAAAACATTTTTTTGGAGATTTATGATGCGACACCATATTTTGTTACTCGAAAATAATATTACTACTTCGTTGACACGAACACTTATATTACATACAACGCAAAGAATTTATCAGCCTTAAGCGGCGAATTTCGTTTGTCATTTTAGCACGTGCGGAGAGCTCACGAGCGTAGGGCCCCAGGGTTAAAGCAGCACGAAAGAAGAGAGGACGCTGCAAGACGAACAGCCATAAAACGCGATATTGAAGTTGGTGAAGAAGGAAAGAAAAGACACTTTGCCAAAGAAAAAGTCCATAATTTTCGCCTCCGTAATAACATTCCTGCTTTGAATAATACAAAATTGAATTATAGTTCTCGAGAAAGAAAACGCTTGTGCATGCGCGCAGGGAGGTTTCCAATAGTTTCCCATAATTCTCTCTTTAGTAAGCAAAACTTTTAAGACGACTTTGTTCCTCTTTCGAAATTACTTTTTCTCAGAAGAAGAGCTTTTTGTCGTAATAAAAAGGGGCATAGTTATAAATATACGAAGTTTTAAAGTACTTTTTTCTTTCCCTTGCTTTTCATTTTTGGTTGTCTTTTTGCGAGTCTGGCAACCTGGAAAGTTTCGTCGAGTTGCAGAACAAGTTTGAAAAACATTTGTGGAACGACTTCAGCAACAAGAGAAAGAGTTGGCTATGTGATTGAATGCAGGGACTCTTTAAGGGATCGCGTATTAGACTACGCCAATCAGAATTAAATTTAATGGGTACTTGCGATAAAAGGCTCTCTCTTCGCTTTGAAAACGAGAGTTTAACACCACCTGCAAACGTCGGTAAGCGCTAGCGTGAGCCCTGAAACTTGATTCGCTTACCGACTTTACACATTTCATGAATCTCCTCCTACAACCCATCGATTCAAAATCCTGCCTCGTCAGTGCTTTGTGAGGCGGTTCTAAGAAAACATGCACAACGTAGCGAAAGGCCGGGCCCTCACCATAGCCGAGTGCGGGGTGCTGTCGTCGCTGTCCTCGCTCGTGGTGGTGGTCTCGTGGCCGGCGGGCGGGCTGGCGCCCTGCGGCGAGCGCCCGTAGCCCATGCCGCCCCCGCCCCCGCCGCCTCCGAACATCTGCGGGTGCGCGGCGGCCGCCGCGGCCGCCGCCGCCTGCTGCTGCATCATCATGAGCGGCTGCGCGCCGCCCTGCGCCGGCCCCGCCAGCGTGTATGTCGGCTGCGGACTGCTGTACGAGGAGCTGCCAACACACGAGCGAGACACACGCTCAGTGGGGGTCAACACCCAGGGGAAAAGAAGGCGTTGCGCTGACTTAAGTTAAAATTGAATGTTATAACAAGGTAGGATTTCGATATCTCCAATGTGAAGGGAGAAAGTCTACAGGTATCGAATACTTCGACTTGCTCTTAGTAGGAAAGATGAACGGGAATGAAAATGTCAAGACACCGAGGAATTCGATTTGTCCAGATCCCTCTGTATTGATTAAATATATTTCAATGCATTTTGTTTCTTGCTTTAATGCATATTCTAAGCAAACAAATGGCTCCGCAAGAGAGAACCCCTTTAATTGAGCGCATGCCGAGGCCCCTTTATTTGCACATAGCTCCCTTTTCTCATTTCGGGGAGGGAAGGTCTGCACACCGGTGTCGGATCCGGGGGGGGGGCACGTGGGCCGGCCCTCCCCCCCACAAAGTTCTAGAGTTTCCGTGTCTTACCTTCATTTATTGTGCAAAATTGATTTAAATATTTATTTATGATAAAATTACGAAGTTATTTAAACAATAATATCGTATATCATATATACACTACAAAAATAATATATAATATAATAAATGTTTATTATCTAACAAAAATCTATGATCCCCCACATGATCGTCTGGATCTGCCCCTGCCGCGCGCACGCACGCACGCGCACACACACACACACACACACACACACACACACACACACACACACACACACACCATCATGAGCGAAAATCGCAATTCACAAACTTCGAGCGAACTCCTCGACAGCTGCAAAACGAATCAATAAGTCTCAAAAAGTTGTATCGGTAGCTTTCCTGAAAATGTTTGCGCTTTTGTTCTGAGTGCCCTTCAGAGTCGTCTTGGAAACACGCCTGCCGTGTTTATTGATCTGTATATAATTCAACCAAGGGGTGAAGTCTACGGGGAATGAAGCTCGGTGCTTGAATAGAAGGGTTTAAATCTAACGAAAATATCTACAAAGTACCGTGGATATTCTAACTAGTTTTGCTTTTTAAAATTACATCAATTTTTACATAGCATTATTGCACAATATACGTTTTCAGAAAGAAAATATCATATTACATGTTTCTGTAAATTGTTATGCGAAGAAAACACACAGTGAAACAACTAGAAACCGAAACATTAGTTTCTGAACATGAATACTGGTAACTTTCCTGGTTGGTGAAAGCCATTCATCTGTTCCTCATGCACTACTATTTTCGGAACAGATACAGAACCAAAATAGCTTGTCTCAACAACGAGCTCCAAGAAACTTCTGCTTGAGAATTCAAACCTTCAGCCAGAGGTGTTTATTTGATTTCACGTTTCTTCTAGGGGCTCGAATCAGGGTTATTGAAAGTGCGAAGGTCCAACTCAGGATTTTTAGAATATATCGCAATTAAATACTACATAATATTGATACATCGACTAAATATAAACATAAAGGTATTGGCTCAATTGATCAAGATAAATGCGTAATTAAGGAATAAATCGAAAGAATCTAAGCTATAACGAAGCAAAATTATTTCCCAAAGAAATAAATAAAAATATTCCTATAGATTTACTCGATTGTTCAGACGGTTATCCTAACGGTGAATGAAATCAACACCAAGAGTTTTGAAATTTCTTCCCGAGCAACCAGTTGCTATCTCGCAGGCAGGAGCCTCCGTCTGAAGACGCGTGTTGCCCTCGGAGCAGGTAGAGCAAGCAGGTACGCGCTGCCACCTGACGCGGCCGGTGCGCCAGCTGCGCCCGAGAAAAAACGCCCTCCCTGCACCCCGGCCCGGCCCGGCCCAGCTGTTGCGTCGGACTGATTTCGGTAATAATGATCGCCTCTCCACGGGGGCCCTGCTGCTGCGGTGCAGTGCGTCGCGAGGCTGCGTTCGACCCACGCCCTGGCAGAGTCTCGGAAAGAGGCAGGGAAGTGGAGGGAGAGAATACAGACTGCATCCCCAGTCAAGTTTTCATGAGTCCACGTCCTCTATAAGGCGTAGCCCGACTGCATCCCGATCAGTGTTTCTTGGTATAAGTATTGATTTTCAACGTTTAACGAGGTCTGCCTAGTATTATATTTGTTGGTTATACTCGGAATTGATTCTCTTCAGTCTGGTGTCAAAAAAATTTTGCTTGTCCTTTTAGAGCACTTCCAACGTTTAAAATCAGGGCTTAAAAATTTGCGGGAACAAAATTAGAAACCTATCAGGAGCATCATTTTATATCGCCGACTGTACAGACAGAATTCCGTGTTCATCTGCATTCGAGGTTTGACAACAATGACTTCCGAAGCACCGGCTGAATGAACTGGATGCAGTGGGGCTATGCCTTCACATGCAACTCTTAAGTGAAAGGGGATTCGATGGGGAGCAGGGCTGAGGGAACACTGACCGGGGGAAGCAGTCCGGTTCCCGGAGAAGGGGCTGGTTGGCCTGTGAGAAGAGAGGGAACGAACGGACTAGTGGGAAGAGTCGAGGAACTGGCTGGTGCGAGGGAAGACAAGGGACTGGTAAACGAGCCGGAAGTCGCAAGACTGGTCAGCGCGAGGGAATAGAGCGAATTAACTGTTTTGCGGGTGGAAAGAGAGCGGGAGTCTGGAGGGTAGCTTTCATCAAATACGATAATCTATATTCGCTTTAAATGGTGAGCCGAAGTCGGGCCCGACAGGACTTCTAGGTGCGTCATGTCCAATTAACAATAGTATTGCTTTTATCTAAAGGTCTTTAAAAATGTCCGGATTAATCTTTGGTTCAATGTCTTTAATTGTTCAATGAAAGAACCTTCTTTAAAAATATTTGCAAAACGTGTGGTTGAGCACAAGACTGTTCAGAGTTTGGGGAGAGTTTATGAAAACACTGAATTTGTTGATAACGTAACTAGAGTGTGAGGATGTAAATTTCCACGAAATATAACGTAGTATTTCTATATTAATTTTTCTAGAACGAATTTCAAAAGGTTCATTACAAATATTAATTATGTATAAATTGAGTTTTTCAATTAAAAAAAGTTTATTACAGTCTCTCCCTCTCGCATGGACTATCCTTCCCCTCCACCACATTCTCCACACGCAGAGAGGGGGACACTAAACCGGTAAAATTTATTACTGGTGAAGCACATACAGAGGCTGTGGTAGCTGAGCTGATAAAGCTACCGGCTAGACTACTGCTGGTTGCGATTCTCGTTCGTTGCTTGCCTGTCCCCCTTGATTATCCATAACATCAGTCACACCGGCGTTCAAGGAAACGGGGTGCATCAACCGTCAGCGACGGTGCGCCGTGGGGCAGCTTTCTCGCAAACGGGCGACGCTCTTGCGGGCAGAGAAGCAACTGCGACTGTCCCTTCAAAATTATGTTTCTACCGTTGGCATTACTGCGTAACGAGCTAAACCTACGAAGTGAATAACTCAGCTCTTCCTAAGTGCGGCCATTGCACCGTCAACAATCCGGAACGAATATGAACGAATGTCGATAAAGCGGGAAGAAGTATAGCATTTCGAAATGTTGAGTACAGTAGTTTCAGCTTGACGTTTATCAAGGCTTCTTTAATGTTGCTCATTTCAAAAATGCTTCTATATAATTGGGTTATACCCAAAACTAACGAGAAATGAAACAATGAAGTGAAATAAAGGTAAAAATATTCTATCTCGACGTGAACGCAAATGGAGCTGCATTTCACATCCGATGACTAACTTGAAAGCAACTACAAACTAGGCGCGACTCCAAGAAACCCATTTCTTCTCTATTAGACTCCTTAGTTGAGATAATTTGCAAGAAACTAGTTTTCCATTCGTTCAGCCGGGCGAAACGAACAAGATTAATTCCCTTACCGCTATCTTTTCACGTGCCTGTACAGCGTATCACATCAGCCGAACTCGACAACGGGGAACGAAACTCGCAAGCCCAAGGCACTACGGAAATTCTGTTACAGCACGTTCTAGCGACATGCATGCATCAAACTCTGCCAGTGTCGTTTGTCTCTCATTCTCTCTCTCTCTGAACCTCCTCCTAAAGTGTGTCGGATCTCCCGACACGCGTGCCGGATAAAGGTTTTGTAAACGAGCACTGCAGCTCGGGTCGGGAGTGCCCGCCCGGCCATGTCGTATCTTTTCAGGAGTCCTTTCCATCAAGCACGCCAGCACCCCCGCAGACAGGCGGATAAAAAACGAGCTCTTGTGCGAGGGGTAGGCAGAAACTGCGCAGCGGCCAAGAAACTAAGCGCAGTCTTGGAAATTCAGACTTAATGGACCAACGAAAGGGAAATAACGCGGTGTTGGATTTCAAAACGAGTATTTATTACCAACTCACTAAAACTGAGCCCGACCATACGATTAGTCAAAATTTACGAACATGTAGAGTGGAGTACAAGTAATCATCTCGAGCGCAAAGGCAGAGATCTTTTACGTGGGATGTAATATATGTAAACGTAAGTCTATTTCCAGATAAATCATTAAAATGATCTTTAGTTTTATAGTGTGGGATGTTTAACTGCTGCAGGGAATCTCTTATTGTTCTTAAAGTTTTGGTGAAGGGGGAGGCAAGATATGAACCTGGTATAAGGATGGGGGAAAATAGACCCTAAGATGCCGTTATCGGATTTGTTTGGTTCCAACCGGATAAATAAATATTTGACGTCAAAAATCTTTTATCGATTAGGCATATTTTCCTTCCCTAAAATCGAAAAGGCAGGAAATGTAACTAATTTTTGTGGTACGGACTTTCAGGGCGCCTTCTCAATCAAAACATTTTTTCCCATTAGGAACATTAATTAGAAAGGAACTTCAATTAATTTACGCACCACTATATTAACAGCAGTAATTTTCCGTCGAGTTGGCTGTAAGGAAAACTAATGTCTTTTGTACATTTCCTACTGTTCTGGATCATTACGGTGTCAATAGAGTCCAAATCGTTGGGAGTCGCTCGAAGTAAGCAAACTTGATTTCCGCCATCTTGCATTGTTAGCCCTACTCACCTCACGCTCAAGCCCATCGTGTGCTCGGGCAAGTAGAGCGGCTGCTGGTAGCCCGACGGGTCCCCGAGCACCATGCCGTCCGGGCCGGGGCTTTGCAGCATCTGCAACAAGCGCTGTTATGAGTAATACTCGTCCTCAGGGCGGAGGGGCAGGCGCAGCCACACTGTTCACCCCTGGGTGTTCGAAAAGAAGAAGAATAAACAGCACGGAGCAACGCCAGATGCCTGCCCGCCCGCCCGCCTCCCAGCCCAACCGGCTCAATTGAAACGTCACCTATGAAACAACACTAATAAAATAGAGAAAGCGGAATCATCTTAAAAGGAGGGCGAAAACGCCATGATCCATGTTACGTACGTTTTTATAGTCACAAACACATATTTCTGGCAATATGTTGAGAGAACTTACAGAACATTACAACAAAAGGGTATACAAAAGCCCGACTGATGGAGCCAACATCAAGGCAAAACCAATTACCATCATTTGTCTGCAACGAAATTAGTTCAACGACGACCCTAAATAACTTCACAATAAGATCGTAGCTCCCCAGCTGCTCCCGAGAAGTCAACGGAACAAACAACTTGCTTGATATGAATATTTTACAGGATAAAATAGAAAAATCGTGAACACAAGATGCCATCACTAATCTACCTTCATTCTGACTACACATTGTAGATGAAATTTACATTTCACTAAACCTCTTTTGCACATTTCAAAACGGGCGGAATTATTACACAAATCAAGCTGCAGTAAAAAGTGAAGATATACGGCACATCACAAATTTTGATTAAACTCTTCCGCGGATCACGAAATAATATTTCTCAATATATCCCATCATTGAGTCTAATAATTGAAACAGATACTACAAGGCAATACATAAATTAACGGAATTTTGAAAGAATTTCATAATTCATTTCACTTTCGAATTAGTATAAGCAAGAAATAAAATTTGCGCAATTTACACCATCAATTCATTTTGCACCAAGAGTGTTTCGACAACTTCGGAGTTCGTCACAATTATTACTTGTGGTGATCTGCACTATGGGCCATTCGATGTCCCGCCCTCTCGGCGACAAGTCGAAGTCGAAACTTCTCGCCAAGGGAGGCGCGCGCCCTTGCAAAATGCCCACACTGGCCCACGCTTCGAAGTGCACAGTTCGCAAAATTCAATTAACATCGCTAGCAGCGCAAATGTGAGTGTTCTTCCGCAGTAACAAACGGCCACTCTTCCTTAGAGAGCACGTTGGAAGCAAGCCAAAACCCATTAGACGCGACATACTAATGCAAAACGACTCTGGGGAGGAAATGTACTGCCATTTCTAAATTAACAGAGTTAAAAAAGCGAGACGATAAGTCATCGTCAAAACTTAACACGCTTCAATAAAAAGGAAACTTTATTAATGCCAGTTTAGTAATCGGCTTCTACTTGAGAATTCTCACCAACCGTGTAATGTGAAACGCCGCGAAAATGGAGGCATGTAATTTCACAAAAAACGAGCAACACAACAAAACTCGATTGAAAACACAAATCTCGTCACGCTTTGAATATTTCTCACAGCTTTCGAAGAAAACAACGCCCAACTCGACTAGGTACCTCGCCTTGCATCGATTTTTAACGACGACTCGACGGAATCACACACTTCACAAAAGCGACGCTAACACACACACACACATATATATGTACACCAAAAACAAGAGTGAAACACATTCCAAGAAACCCACTCACTTCATCCATAGCGTAGGCGTACGTGCGACCCGAATCGAACCAGGGGTCACGTGCACTGAGCGGGAGATCCCACGCTCGCACAAACGGCAACGTCGTCCACGTCGTTGTCGTCGAGATGGCGCGCGCGGCAGTGACGCTGCAGCGCTGATTTCCAGAGAGAGAACGAGCGAGCGGGCGAGCGCTCGGGCGGGCAGGCTAGCGGCGGCGAGCGACGAGCGGCGAGCGAACGGCGGGACGGACGCGGGAACACTGCTGGCTGGCTGCGTGCTCGCGCGCCCCGCAGACAAGATGGCTCCTCGGCCGTCTCCGCCGCCGCCGCCACCGCCGCCGCCGCGCCAGCCGCGACCGCCGGAGGCAGTCGCACCCTCTCGGCGGAACGCGCAACCAGAGGCACACGGCCCGCGCGCCGCCGCCATCGCCACCGCTGCCGATGACAACGCGCGCTCGCCCCCCAAGCCCTGCCCTCTCAACCACTGCCACCGCTCTTTCTCCCTCCCTCTCTCGACAGTTGCACCCTCGCCTTCACCCCCCACGTCTCCTTTCCATTCCTTTCCTCTCTCGCTCCTCGCCATCAGACACGACGCCCCCCACGGCCGTCATAACGGCCCCCCTACTTAGAGGAGCAGGTATAAAGAGCGGGAAGGAGGGAGCAGGGCACAAAGACGTATTTTTAGCACAAAAGACGTGCTTCTTAGGTCGGGAGCGACGTGATTGCGTCCGGGACATCCGGGGAAGTCGCCAGGGGAAACAGGACGACGAGAAAGCGATCTGCTGCCACGAGGGCTGCGTAGTCGTCGTCGGTGCGTGTGCGTGTGCGAGTGAAGGGCCACGCCCTGCGGCTGTCGGTGACATGCGTACGCTCCCGGCTGCGCCCGAGCCTCTGCGGAAGGGACGTTTACACATTCGGCACCCGTTGAAGCCAGGCTCCGCCTTCATCGACCGACTGACTGACGCTACAGGAACCCAAGAAAGAAAAACAAGGCGATAGAGGGCATCCTTCATTTGAAGCGAACGGGTTCAGATATTGCTAGGAATACTCAATACTTCGTTTGCACAAATCTCTCACAAGCTGAGAATCGTTTTAATTAGTTTACCGAAACTCTCTTTGAAGTGAGAACTCTCAAGTTTCGTTAGCACTTAATTTAATTCACATCTTAATAAAATGAACTACTGTATAAAACAGTTCACAGAAATCTTTTTTTTTTTTTATACCAAAGTCCACTTGTCCTTTAGAGTGCAACGAATATATAAAAAGAAACTTGTGTCCCCATTCATTTTTACATTAATACACGAAAGAACAACAAAATGGAGACTTTACATTCAATACTGCTATATGCCAAATATTCCTCGTCTGTCGCATCTATGTTTCTTCCAGCAAACAATGACCCTCTGCAATATACAGAACAAATGCATTCTCCCCCTACAATTATTGTTCTCCGCGTTTCCAAAACACGCGGACCGGACTTCAACGTTCTACGCTCTAAAACGATGTCTAAAACTAAAAACCTATTATTACGGAAGATGGAGTTTTTATGGTCTAACTGCTGATGACTTCCTATTGATTGCTAACATATTTTGCACTGAAACTGATAAATTGCAATGTTCCCCAGCGAGTGACCAGTACATTTTGGTCGCAGATAGCCATCAGCCATTTTAACTTCTTTTTTTTTCAGTCTCCTTACATTTTTTATAGGTAATATCATACGCTATTATGGTTCAAACAAACAGATAATTTTCGTTATTTTATGATTAGGCACTGCTTCAGTTTTTCATGTAGAATTGAGAGCAAACCTTAATTTTAACGAATTAGTTTTAAGTTGTGCAAACATTTTTATATTATATTATTACACATTACCTGCAATATATCTCAACGAAAGATAAAAGTGATTTTCCCTCTCAAGTCATCACGCCTCTACTTTGTATCATCAACGATTTTTTTTTTACCATTTTAAACGTATTGTAACGTATTAGCCAGCGTGCCTCATGGCATCTATTTAGGGACGCTTGGTTGCGGATTAGTCTCGCCACAGGAAGAAGGGTTTTTCCGTAAAGGGAAGAACGCGGAGACGGGAGACACAAGGCTTTGGGTGTCTTCCGGCTTATAGAAGCTTTTCACTGTTATAACAAGCGAGGGGGTGGCGTGACGTAGGAGGTCACGTGGGCCTCGCCTATATAACAGAGTGTACGGAGCCAGTAGGCAGGTTCTGGAGACGGTGGGAGAACCTCGTGCGTGTGCACAAAACTTGGCGCCTAGACGGTGCATATGCGAGCCAGGCTCGCGAGGCTGGAGTCATTAGTTGACGAAGCCTGCGGACTTTATGTCCTTGGGTGACTGCGGTCACGGGGGAGCGATGCTGTGTGCGTGCTCCGAGGTGAAGAGTGGTTGAGTGCCACGATTCACGCCGATTCTCAATCGGATACGATCGCTCCTGCGATCGAGGCAAACCAGCCGTTGGTGCGCCAGAACGGACTTTGTGTCCCAGCGTGACATCCGGTCACGGAAGCTAGGCTTTGTGCGCGCTTCAAAAGTAGGAGTGGCGAATGCCACAATCAAAACCATCTTCAATCGGGTTTTAGATCGCTCCCGCGATCAGGGGATAGTAGGTCTATCAGAGCTAGGGTGTAAGTAAATTATTAAGTGTATATATTTGTTTTGTTTCTTTGTTAATAAATATATTGTTATACGAAAGCTCTGTGTCTGTGGTCGCTGTGAGTATCCATGACGTCACAGTATGCTCTCTTCTCGTGTCCCTCAGTTTTCAAATTATGACAAGAAATAAGTTTTTTTTTTTTTTATTCACAATTGGGACCAGCACAACTTTTTATACTGTTCATATGAGAAAATGATATTAAGAATAACTTTAGAGCCTTTTTTAAGACACTAATTGTTTAAAAATTGTTCCACGAAAAAATACGCGAAAAATACTCGTATTTTCGAAAAATTGCACGTAACCTTATTTGAAGATATATTTTTAATAAACAGATTTCATTAACGAAAAATTTTGTGTTTTCAATATTGTAGTTGTAGGATGACACCGAAAAAGTTTGAACTTCTGCAAATTTCGAAAATTCATTCCGTTCAATTTCTCAGTAGCAAGGACAGACGAAACTTGCATTCTGACTACAAACCGTGGTAGGGGAAGTAATTTACCACAAATAGGAACACGATTTATCCACCTTTTCGTTACAAGGCCCGATAAATAAAGTGTTTCTATCGAAAAATTGCCGTTACAGCATTACGATACTTTCTGCACTGTACAAACAGTGTGCTAGAAAGTAAACTGTATGAGGCGTTTGCAGTTGTTAAAATATCCCAGAGACCACGTTTTGAAACTATTTGCCCCTTCTTTTTTTCAAAATGTTAGTATCAAAAAGTTGATTTTTTCCTTGTATCAATCTCGGAAGAGGCTATTACGTTTGAAAAGCGAATTTGAATTTTTAAAGAAAATACTGGGAAAAATTGTCAAAACCTAGGTAGACCGTAATGGGCTTAAAATTAAATTACTGCAAATTATGACTTCTATAGATTTCTAGACTAAATACATTATGGCATGATTACAAGTCATTACTCACTTCGCCCGAAATATCACATTCACGCGAAACTGAAATTTTGTTATGAATAACGACTATTGATGCATCTTGAAAAGACACTTTCGAACTTCTTGGCTCAATTAAGAACTCTGTCTGCCTTCAGTTTCCAAGAACGCAATATCAATAACCCATTCGTGTTTCACAAGATATTTGCATTGCACGGAAACTGTACTCTGTCACACAATACTAGTTTCTAAGTCAATGAATAAATTTAGAACTAGAAACAATGTTTTTTGGCATGGGCGACAAAATAACGTATTTCCTATTAAGGAAAAAGTCGTGCCTTTAGTTGCAATTCTTAAGTCTGGGCTCACCAAAAGTAAAGGCAATCAGATACAACTAAAGAAGAAAAATAATCAATTTCATAAGAAAGTATTAGGAAGAAGAGGAGACCCCGCCAAGAGATCAAATCAGAAGAGGTAATTCCAATATTCTTTAAAAATGAAGTTAATCAACTAACATAGAAATTCATTCGCAAAAAGGTCACAACAAGAATAACAGCAACAAATCAATGCCGGTTTTCACCAATTAAGACTTCCAAACCACCGCGAGCATCGTTGTTGTCAAGTTAATTAGCCTCTCAAAATGCTAATGCAGAATTTCTCAAGACCTTAATAGACCTTTTGACGTTTACGAAATGATCTTCGCCTAATTTCCCATTCGACCAGGCAGCCACTCTTATACGTCTCTCGTGTTCAAAAGGTTTCTAGCGCATCATGCACTTACATACTGGCAAAACATTTTATATAAAACAATCTATTCGAAATTCATCATACCAAAGCTAACCCAAAAGAGTGAACAATTGCATATCCGCGAGTGAGTAAAAGATACTGCCAACCCTTAGATACTTCGTGTATTACAAATTTACAACACTAGTTTTAGAAGTATAGAAGCATCTGCGTTAAGAACACTAGGAACAGGTCAAAACATATCGATCGGAATGAATGCCGACAGTCGAATGTAGAAAGCCAGGAGGAACAACTGTACATCAAAGACACAAGCATCAAAATAAACTCGCACACAAAAGAAGGGCAAATCATCAAAGCGACTAGATAAGAAAAATAAACCAATTGTTAACTCATGATGTTTATGTCTCTTACAAATGAGATTTAAATGTTTAGGTCTACGAGGTTAACAGGATAACAGTCTTAAGTGCCCCTACTGAATGTGATATCTGAACGAAGAAATCTTTTGTGTCACAAGTGATGTAGTACATAAGATGTCAGCAAAGAAAAAAAGCAAAACAGATTGGCGTTTGAGTGAGAATGGATGTAATTTACTAATTAATCTCCAAATACTAGAGAATGCTCGTCGATTTCGTTGTAATAAACGAAAGTTCTATAAAACTAAATACTTTTTTAAAATTTCTAGCTGATGATCAGGTATAAATTAATTACAGTTTTTCTGGGGTAAAGGAAGATGCTCTTGTAGTGTGGGTGTTTATTTTTGTCCATGGCTGAAATTAGAATGTACTAACAGTATTCTTTGGCTCAAAATTAATTTAATTTAAGGGCTTATTTCCAAAAGGACGTATCTCCAAGAAATACAATTTTGAAGGAAGAGAACATATTAAAATTCAGCTATATAGTTCAAATTTAGATTCAACGATGTCCTGAATAAGTTGTTAAGTCTAACCTAATATTGAACACAATACTTAACAGCTCGAAGCAGCATTCTAGAATCTACTAGCTGAACCCTCTCGAATATATTGCACACATGGAAGAACTACAGGCTAATTACGGCACAAAAGTACAACATATGTATTTCATGTAAAATGGACCACGACCACACATACATATGTTTTACGTCGTTCAGTACTTATCTTCCAAGATTAAAGAAATGAGGGAGGTTAACGAATTCAGGAACTATAAAATCACTACTCAGAATGAACCCAAGAGTTAAACATACATTTTTAAAGCAATTGCAATATTTATATTTACCAAGATGGATGTGTGTAACATGTAGTTGACTACAGCGAGAAAACCTGCCTTCGAGCTTCATTTAAAAATATAATACGTCACACATAATTATAATCAGCGACATTTCTTGTAAAAATCACAACACGTTTCCTGGACATTGCGTTCATAAACACTCGCTAATCTTACGCGCCCAAAAACACAAAATCATTGAATTTTAAAAACTTGCATTCTATCTGTAACCTCACTCTACAAAAGCCTGCTAGCGCCACGGCCACTTCACGAAACGCGGAAGGCTTTGGATAGATCGATTGAAACTCTGGCAACCAAACGGCGTACGAAGCAAATGACGCGCGTGCGCTTATTAATTTTAAGAAATTAAAATTCAGTGTTTATACTGCAAAGCCGGTGATAACGCATCTGGGCCCCATTAATATATATTATAAACGTGTATATTAAAAAACATGAAATTTTCGAGTCGTAACCTCAAACTTCTTTACCTTAAAAGTTCAAGTAAAAAGATCGACACGTAATGGTGATACGACATCGATCTGTAATGTTTATCATGAAATTTGGATACTCTTTTAATGCTTTCTTCGCTTTTCGTTTTGATACAGGAGCGGGTATGGAAGATTTTCAATAAGACACATCGGAAAAGCAGGACAGCAGCGCGGCGGCGGCGGCTCAATCAACCCTTTCCCTTCCTGTTTTGGGTTCGGCCCCATGTACACGTAGAATTCGAAAGCAGGTTTCGCGAGAAAAGGTGGAGGGATCATTTGGCCCCAATGCACATAGAGGCGGAGACGCATGCGTTCGGAAACAAGCTAGGTGGGGGGGGGGCGGCTTACCTGCGGCTGGTAGGCGGACATGGGGGCGGGCGGCGCGTGCGACGGCGCGTGCGACTGCGCGTGCGCATGCGACGGCGCCTGGTGCGGGTTGATGGGCGGGATGTCGAACTCCTCGTCGCCGAAGCTGGGCGTGTGGAACGTCTGGAACACAAACGCAACAGTCAGCGCAGAGGCACAACCCCACACACACACACAGCGAGTCAGCCAGGCACACACACGCATGCGCACACAGCACACACCACCGCACGCACACACACACACACACACACGCAGATATGCAAGTTTTGAAACTACTCTTAGCACAAAACATTTTTAATGCAATTCACACCGATGGCGTAGGGCATCGGCAAGACGGACATATTTCATTTCCGCAGTATGTGTGTTCATTGCACATGTACAAGTCCGAAGGTGTCAGCGTAGCCTTAGTAGGAAGACATGTATCCGGGCGCTAGTCCCTATACCAGTGTGGTCTACTACCTAACAAATTCGCTTTTGAAAATCTGGAGGCGTACCAAACTCTTTACGCGAACACAAAATTTAGAAAAGACAATTATAATTGTTGATACTGAGATGTAGCGCTTAGGTTACATAATCATACAATGAACATTTTAGTTGTAACCACTTAACATATGACTTGAAACTCCTATTTCCAAGTAGTTGCAACTGATGAAGTGATCTCGGGGCCGCTCCAGATCCGCTGCCGTCGCCGGGCACGCGCCCTTTTCGTCGCCGCCGCTGCGCCCCTCCATTAGTGGCATAGACAGTGTCTATATCTTGAAATCGATTCTCACATCCCACCAGACAGTCTCACAGAAAACAGAAACTTATTTTGCGTACGTTTATGTCAGGCATTGTGAATACTTCAGTCTATCGCTTATGTTAATTTTTATGTCTAAGCGCTATGCTTATGGGAATGGGCCTTGCGTTGGGAATGTCGCTGTGTCTGCTTGCGCCGCGAGTGCCGCACACGCAACGAACCGCCAATTACACTTCCGGGGCTCCTTCTCAAAGAAACCGAACACGCCGATCTACTTCATTCCTTCGGAATTGGACAAGCGTCCCAGACGCGCGCGACCCGTGGGCGCATGCAACATGAAGACGTGAGGCCGTATGTGGGCGCCTGTTACTTTCATTGCCTTCCCCCGATCCCCCACCCCCGCCGGCCTTTTCCGTCTTTTTCTTTCGCCTCAGGCCTGTTTTAAAGGATATTTCTCTCTAGCAGCCCGTTTACACAAAGAGAGAGAGAGAGAGAGAGAAAACGAAGCCCTTAAAACAGAAATAAGATGGGGTAAATGGTAGGGTCCATTCCGTAGAAAACGAGAAAAAGTTTATATTGCCCATTCGTCTTGTAATTTCAATACTTCAGTCCCCCAACAAACAGAAGGGCCGTCGAGAGGAAAGGGAAAGGTAAGAGAAACAGGAACAGGAAGGAAGGCGGAAGAAGACGAGGAAGTTAGCCCGGAGCTTCCATGGCTCCCGAGCCTTCGGCGAACAAACTAATGCTCCACGTAAAGGTTTCCCCATCGGACTCCATTGTTCTCGGACAAAGCACGTCGATAAGAGCACGCCGGAGCGAAGCAGGTGTTCTAAACGCAACTCTGTAACGGACAAGGCGAGGGTCACGGAGGGAGGATTTCTGTGCACTTATGCAGGTTAAAGAAGCGTTCTGGAAGGGAGAGAATATCTACACTATTCTTTCGTGGGTATTCACATGGTAACTCGCTCATGTGTTAGGTCCCGAATTATCATTGCCTTATGAAATATGGTTGTCATATAATTTATGTTCCGGTCTACGATCAACTGAAAACCATAGAAATTCTAAACAGTTCGTTCAATATTGAAACGCAATCATTCAAACCACAGCTAGCGTAAATTGCTGTTTCTAGCTAGAGACCAATTTTGGAACGAATATGTAAATAATAAAAAGAAAATTATCTAAGACTTACAGCACGTTTCGAAACGGAGCCAAGAAGCAAATTCCTTAAAAGGAGCCTTTCTTTCTGCATCGACTGGGTAGAAACGGCAGTATTTTTCTTCGTGGTAGTGTACTTAAGAGCAAAGGAATGTAACGTCACGCTCCAAGAAGTTCAGTAACAACCGCGCGAAGTAACTGTCAATGCAATTTGCCCAACGCAGATTTTCGAACTGTGGCGAAATGTCTCGAAGCTTGCACTGCAAACCGATGAATCTGCACTTTCGATGCACAAAATGAACATCGCTGCTTGCGAGCGGTGGTGTCGGTCTTGGCCGCTCACAACGCATACTCTTTTTCCGAAGAAGGTTTTATTCGCCTCTTTATCGAATATTTTCATAGACCAATAAACTGGAAAGAGAAGAGGGAACTAGAGAAGTAGAGGGAGACTCAGAGTAGTGGAGTTGATGAACCGACACTACTCCTTCACATAATCCAACCGTTTACAGTTTTTTTTGTCCACAATATATTTAGATCGAGAAATAAGGTAGACATTCGAGAATTCCCAATGGTCAGTCGTTGTCTGCAGAAAGTAACGCTCCGATTAAACAGAACGATCTTTGGAAAACTGGCGCATCAGAGGGAAACTTTAATTAACGAAGCGAATGGCTGCAAGGCACGAGGACACCAGCGCACCCCGTGCTGGGCACGCGGTGACGGACATGCGAGCGACAGGGCGCGTGGGAGGGCAGCGGATGTGCAGTGATTACCCGGCGACACCAAATTCAATTTCCACGACAATGAATGAAGACCGAATTGAAAGATGCCTCGTTAGGCAAAGCTTTCAAACAAGAGACAAGCGAAGCCGCGCTCCGCGCGTCCTAACCCGGTTAGGTCGGGGGCGACGCGGGGGCGGGGCGAGGCTCTTCGTTATCCTCTCTGTACCTGCGCCCAGCAGCGCGCCGCTCCGCGCGTCCTCGCCGCCCTACGTGAGGGCGGGAGGGCGATTGGGGCGGCGACGCGCGCTGCCTTCCCGGAACGCGTAGCCGCCGCCGCCGCCGGTAAGCAGATCGGGCGATGTATTTGCGTTTGCGCGGCGGTTCCGAACTGACCACAACGCGCCACAGGATAACTAGCAGCCCCGCCCTCGAGCCCGGGCTTTGCTAGCCACCAAGATTGAGCGCCGGCGCGGCGCGGCGGAGGGGGGGTGGCGGGGGGCGGAGAGTAGATTTCGGGCCCGCGCAGGCTGATTTGTCGGACGGGAAAGCGCGTTCAGAAACGAGGGTGCCCTGTTACGTAGTCCAGGCTCCCCTCGACAGCTCCACGAGAAGGGAGGCGACAATTTTAAACGCCCGCAAGCGCACAGTCCGATCGGACACCGAGGTGGATCAATGGTTATCATCTTACCACGCTTGCGAGAGGTAGAGAATCGATATGCCGTATAAGAAATACATTTTTATATTTATTCAAATCACCTCAACCTTAAAATCTCCAATTTTCGATCTTAAAATTAGTGTTAAAGTTTCTTTCCACATGTAACACACACACACACACACACGCGCACGCGCGCGCGTCAGGATAAAGGTTTATTAGTGATGTTCGAATGATGGTTCGGATTGGTGCAGATGTCGATGAGATACACGCAATTTTGAACCCGAAAACCGAGATGTGTGTATATAGGAATGGATGGATGAACATGCCACGCACAACTCGGACAGATTCAAAGCTTCTGAGTCAGTACTTGAAAAATATATTAGTAGGTTCTAGTTGTGTTGTTCCGGCGATTATCAAGATATTATAATTTTAGGGGGTTCTTTACAAGCCCCTGTGACATTTTCAAAATGTTCTGAAAAATGACCAATTTTTTTCTATACTTTTCCCCACTATTTTATCAAGCCTAGAAAATAGACCACAACAACGAATATTTTCTTTATTCCTACCCAATACAATATCAACCTTAAATTACGACAACAAACTAATTAATACAAAACAAAATGTGCGAGAGACTACCGTCAAGTGCCAAAACCAGGGGAGGTAATGCAATGCAAGCGTAAAGAGAAACCATCGAGACATAATGCCATAAAAGACGCTCGTCATTTGTCCTTCAGAGAGGGAGAGAAGATGGCTGCATCGCTGCAACTGCGCACGTTGTGTGCACTCGACAGCGTGGGCGGCCTCGAGCTGTCGACGACACCTAGCGGACGTTGAAAGGCAGATCGACCCCACGCGGTTCGCGCTCTGCAAGGATAGATGGCTGGCGCTCTTCGGTGGATACTTGAACACATTTATTCCTTGATTAGTGCATCAAATGCCGTGGCCATTAGTCCCATAAGTAGTGCCTATTTTTCATGGGGACGTGGCGGTGATCTGCCCCCCGCTGAATACAGATATCCGGCGACGACCTACCCGTCGACTACCGCTGTTTTCCCTAACCAGGGTATATCCCACCAGTGGACTACCGCCATGGCTGGCACGAGCTCGAGGCACCCCACTGATCTCCTGGCATGTTCCGTAGGGTAGTGCATGCGACACGTGTGTGCACGTAAAGAATGACGATTGGACAAGAAGAGAAAGGAAAGTTCGTTTGTTGGGCTGCTCCGGCATTCACTTGGTGCTCGTAGGAGAAACCACAAAAAACCACCGATTGGAGCAGCCGGCTGCTAGATTCATCCTCCAGCCAGCGGCTAAACGCGACCTAGCTATGTGCCTAGGATTCAACCCCTGGGACCTCCCGGCCAGAGGCGCTGTAGACGCATAAATTGACGCCTCTTGAGGCACTTTCGACGGTGGGTTATGAAGAAGACCTTCCATCTTCGCCGGTGGAAGACAGGGTTGGAAAAGCTTAGTAATGATGAAGTAAAATTGAAGAATCAACATATAAAACAGTGTTTACGACCATGCATATGAGCCTGCGTATTGAAAAATTGATCTTCCGTGTCTTGAACATAAAATTTAATATTCAAAATTATCCACTTCCATAATATATACGAACTGATTTTTCATTCAGCTGGAAAAGCATTCTATAAGTTCCTTTTGCAGTTGATAACCGCTCATTCCAAAATATACCCGAGGGAGGGAGAAAGTGAACGTTCTCCTCTTGTAACTTCTGGAATCAATGATTTAAAACGAGAAAATCGTTTTCTCAAGCGTCTACAATATTTCTGACTTTAATTGCTAACTGCCGAGCTCTTTCGAGAACCGCTAGAGGTTTATCGACGGCGATGATGAA